CACCCAGGATGGGATGCCACTCCATCACTAGTTATCCTGCAGTTTGAATTGAAGATTCTCCAAGGTGGAGAGTGGCAATGTGAAAGCAAATTGTCTCTCCTAAGAACAAACACCGTGTTGCCAACAAGGACTCTTCTTGGACTTTGATGCATAATAATCATTAGGCAAAATAATCTCCCATGGATACAAGTCTTTGTTAACCCTAACCCTAAAAAATACCCCTAACCCTAACTTTTTCACCTGATTTTACATTAAATAGACCTATTTGATTGTTTAATGCTGAAAACTGGATTTTTCCAAAAAAAACTTGGTTCTTTGTTAAAAAGGGCTAAACCTGTTACAACAAATTAGTGAATTCCTATCAAATAATCAATTATTTTACATCCATAGTTGGCTGTTCTGTTCAAAGGACCTGGATGGACTCCAGGAAAGCCTCGTTTGGGTGATCCTGCAGACCTACCAGAGGTATTCAGTTTGTGTAGAATCTTGAGAATAAATTCCCTCTAGCAATTTCCTATTTGTTTATTTTATGCGCTTAATTGGGAATGAGTGTTATGTAAAATTTCACAGAAGTATTTATCAAAATGTGTTTTTTCTTCCACAGATTGAATATCCTATCCAGAAGTATGACAGTTCGTTGTCATTCTGGGGAAATATTTATGTACTTGTGCATTTTGCTGTAACCATTGTGGCATATCAACTACTAATTGCCAGAAGGATGGTAGGTTTTATGTTTAAGTTTACTTCCCTGTTGAGTTACTTTAAATTATTTCTTATCTTTTGTTAGATCAAATTCAGTTTATTATGAAATGAGACAGTTTCCAACGAGATGCTAGGTTTGGTCAAATGTTTGTTCAATAGCCCAGGACATTCATTTTTTTAAAGTACTTTTGTTTGTTTTATGCCTGCAGTCTATGAGCCAACTTCATGTGCTTGGAGTTATCTCTTATTTCCTCTTCACGATTTCAAGTGTTGGAGCTTTATTTGATAACAAGTTAGTAGTAGCCATTTGTGATAATTAACGACCAAGAATGCTTATGTAAGCTGAGCTTTGAACATTGCAGTCAAGGACTCTGAATGGCTTAAAGGAGTAATCATATGTGAAATATATTTTGGTTCACTTATCATCAGGTTAAGTTGTACAAGTGTTGGTTCTAGTTGTAGGTAATTTAGCAATAAACTGTGTCTTTGAGAAACATTTTTGTACATCCAAAAATGTTTGTTAATTGCCTTCCGATCACAAAGGTCATTTACTGTAAACACATCTGTTAATTTGTTATTTATGTTCATTTAAAATTAAAGGTGGTATGCCCCGTACATGGAGTTATTCCGTTGTCTGTTGTTCCTCATTGTAGACCTTGTGCTGTCTTCACAAAACTTGGATACTGGAGGTAAATGGCAATGCATGAATTCTTGCACTGATATGCCAATCATACCATGAAGTTCACAATGTATTTCATTCTATTTAAATAACAACAAAAATTACAGAAGTAGGAAGCTTCTTTTACCTCTGAATTCCCATTTGCTCATTCCTAATACACGTCTACTAGATAGTTAAAGGGATTTACCACCTACATGTAAAGTGTTGTTTTTAGCAAAAGAATGTTCCTTGTTCACAAGTGGTTTGTACGTAACCCACGACTACATTGCATATTTACTCACTGCAGACCCATTTTTATGTCGTCTAGTGTTACATGAGGGAAAACAATGGTTATTTTGTTTTTTACATTATTTTCCTTTTTTTTCAGTACTTCCTACTGCTTACATTGGTGTCATTCGTGGAATTTTCATTGCGTCTGCATTTCTCTGGATAATTGGTTCGTTGGTGACCAAGAGCAAGTTAAAGATCCAGTGAATCTGGATAGCACTTGCACACTAACCACAGTCCTGATCACGATTACCTGTCAATAGTGGTTGACTATAGTACCTAAACCAATGCCAATGTTGTTGGACATTTTTTTATTGTTATGCCGGCATAACAGGTTACCATAGCAGACGTGCAAGCTGTCAGAACACCCTTGGCCTAAATAGATAATAGAACAGCATGCTTAGTTATCCTTAAATTCGTTTCCAAAATTTGATAAGTCCAATCGAGGTACAACAGGGCATCAGTGGAAAGACATTTTAACAAGACTGTTCTCCAAACTACCCGAGTGTGTGGTTTGATGATCTTGACAGTCTGCCACGAAATTTAGTACCCATTTTAACCTCGTCGTTCCGTGGACCACCAAGGTAACGATATATATTGTATTACAGTGAATATCGAACCCAGTTGCCTTTGTTCAGAAACGGAGTTAACAGGCTGGACTATTAGAATTACAATGAATCAAAAGAAAAACAACAACAACGACAACAAAAAAACAAATACGAATAAGAAATGAGTATATTTAATAAGTAGTTTGATATCTCACTTGGAGGTTTAAAAAGAACTAACATTAATACCAGTGACAAATGTATGTTTTTTTATCCATTTCCGATCTTAATGGCAATGACTTTCCATATTCTCTACAATGCATTACGTAAAATGTTAGTACTGAGAATTAGGTGTTATTTATCAAGCGAAATCCCCCGCAGATTTTTTAATTTTGTTCCAAATCAAGTAACATCATGTAAGTTATATTGTTCTTTCTTCTTGTCACCTTCCTTCGTTAAAAAATGTATCGATAATGTAAGGAAAAATTCATTTTTGGTCACTGAAGGTCTTAAAATAACTGAGGAGAATTTGCTACCTTTCTATACTATCAAGAAATGGATGGATATTCTAGTCTTCTTGGATAAGGACGAATAAACCGTAGGCCCCGTCTCCTGCAGGGTTGGGGTAGGAGACGTTAATTTCCCGCGCACGAGATTACTGTGTGGTTGATGTCCTCCCCTGGGGTGGGATGGGTGGGTTTCTAGGATGTAGAAACCTAATAGGGGGCTTAGAGTCCTATTGTTTTTACACCTATCTTACGGTAAATCTCTAAATAAAAAAAAAAGGAAAAGGTTAAACGATAAAGCGTGATCAATACCGGTATTCGTTGTAAAATGGTTAGTTTAGTTAGCATGAATAGTAACTGTAGCACCTATTAACAACTGATCACCTCTGTTCGGGATGGCTATCTCTTTTGATACTACAACTGGCTTTATGGCTGATGGAGCCCTTAGGAAGGGAACCTTACAACCGTAAAATAGACTGAATAAAAAACTGGTACACCTCTTTCATTTTGTTGTGTTGTCATCACAAACAGCGAGACATTTTTAGAGTTGAGGCATCTCACTATTAAGTTCATCAACGGGAACGTAGTTTCAAAGTTTTGGTGTCTACACCGTGTCTTCATAACCCACGAAGCAACTTTTGGAATTCTTCAACTACGTGATAGTAGGTTGAAGATCAGTCACTTGTTAGACAACTGAAAGTAACGGAATGAATTCAGGTAATGTCAAATGTGTTTTTGGGCAAGCTTGGGAGGCACTGCACGTGGTGACAGCCTTGATGGGTCTTGCTACTGGGAACTGTGCAGAACGTAGGAAAATTGTGCGTTGACTCTTTTGTGATATCCTCCTTCCCAGAAAACTTTACCACAAGTAGAACAGCAAAAGAACAAATCAACACTGTCCACTACAGTTTCAGGTAATGTACCAAGCTTCAGAGGCACTCCGCCAGGTAAAGTCAAGTCTTTCAGATTAACTGGACAGTTTTTTGGCTCAAAGCCTGGCAATGGGGCTTTGTAACGACCATGGAAGATACCCATGACCAATCGCATGTCATCCTGATGAAGTTGTACGAAATTGTACCCGTTGCAGACCTGCAAGAAATTTATTGAAGATACAAGTTTGAATACACGAATTTGGCTTAATTCGATGCTTGAAAGCTGAAAATTCGATCATTCATCACCTATGAAATCAGTAGATTTACCAATCTTTCTGATACGAACCTGACCAAGTCGTTCTTTTACACGCCAAAGAAATTTTCAAAACAATTCACACGTTTCCTGACTAGCGAACGTGGCTTGGACACTTTGAAGAAGAGTTGCACCCGAAACGCAAATTCGTTTGGCACTTCCTTCATTTATTTATCCTCATTTTAACTAAACGAAAACCCTCTAAATAAAAGCTTGTAGTAACGACAAATCCACACACGAACCTGGCAGCGACTAAAGATATCTTGTTTCTTTACTTGCACGTTAAAATATTTCACCAGGGTTGATACTTGTTGTCGAATCTTTCCACTTGGAACACAAACGCACATTCCTTCAGGTACCCGAGTGCGCAACTGGACACAAAGCATGATCAAACAAACAAACAAACAAACAAACAAACATAGAATCAGAGTTCTATCAAAATGGGATGATTGAGTGTCTAAAATTATATAAAAACTTTTACTACTTTCCATTATTTGCTTATTTCCCACCCCCACATATCTAAGTGTTTCTTCTCTGTTCACTTCTTTGAAAATCCTACCCATCCCTCCTTACTCCTGTCATATGTTTCCACTTTTTCCTTCACTTCGTGTTGGATTTTTTTTGGATCGCAATAAATCGATTGCAATATTCTTCTTAATCTTCTAACGGCTAGATCAGATATTGGACGGCAACCAGCTTAATGCGAACATACGAAGCGTTAGTTCAAGTCATGGTGGCACGTAATGGAGGAGAGGGTCGCGTTTTTGCTCGAAATGCTTTGGGAGAATGAGTTACCCACACTGAGTTATCTATGTGTATGATCTTTCTTTTTCGAGATCAACAGCGTCCAACATTAAACCGTGATGTTAGTTAATAAAGAATGCGCTTGCAAATGTTGAGAACCTATATATATCTTACCTGTTCATATGGCAAACCGGTTGTGAGAATGATTCTGTTCTCGGTTTGGGAAATCTGATAAAAGAAACAAAAATATCTATATTTTTAAAGTCCACTCTGACTTCCATAGTATGGGTACAACTCCTCAAGGAGAAGAGTTATATACGTTACAGAAGGTGACATATTTCCTTACATTGATGTGATAGCTCTAACACCACAGTATGAAGAAGGCCCTCAAAACTTAACCAACAGGATCATCGCGTTTTCCTTGTCGCTTTCAATTTTTCTTCACTTTTGCGACTCTCGTCACGGAAAAAAGTATTTTTATGCGGACGGCTAAACCCTCGCGTTAATGAGTCAAGGAAACACTTCTCGCTTATTGGAAGGAAACACTGTCTTAAAACTCCTTCATCTTAAACGACAAAATTCCTTCGCTGCTCTATGTAGAACTGACTTATGGAGTTCAATATAATGAGAAGGGTGACGGTAATTCAAACAAGAACACAACACAATGCCCCGCCAAGGGGGTCAAGCCCGGAGCGAACATCAGGCCACCGTTAGAATACTGCTGTACCTCAAATACTCTTTCGTGGTCGCCTTTGTTATCCAGAATAACCACATCAATCCCGCAACATCTCAAATGTTGACCCAGGTCCTGCAGCATTGTATCAACCACGACCCTCAGTGACTGAGGAGGAATGGGATCTCTTTTCTTCGCAGGAGGAAGCAGATCCTAAAGAAAAAAGAATGGACGTCATGTGACCAAGCCTAACGCCTTCATTCACCACAAAAGCCCTCGTATTTGATATGCTATCTAATTTTAAATCATAACAATATACTCATTGGATGCGCTTCGTAGACGCCGCGAAAAGTCTTGAAATCATCGCAAAACTCTCTTGATGTGCCTTCGATCACACTCAGAATAACTTCTCAGAAATGTTCTTTAGAAACAGGAACATTTCTTTACTGCAAACGCATACGAAAGGAAAAGCTTCAGAAACAACCACGTAACCAAACACAACACACATACAAACAAAAACCAACTGCAGATTGAAGAGGAAAAAATTCATGTTCTTGGAAATGTGTTGACATCGTTTCAAAGCACAATTGCCGGTTTTCATGGGAAAACCTGTCCACGTGAAGTAAGATCCTAGGTACTTACACTAGAGCGCGTGCCTGGCTTTGGTTGCTTCCGTCTGCTCCGACTGAAATACACAAAAAACAAAAAACAAAAACAAAAAAAACCGGCATATTGATCGTCACACAACACTGAAGCTGAGTAATTCTGGAAACAATATTGGTTAAAAGGAGTTGCTGACGATGAAAAAATTGCGTACCATGCATCAAATGTCATTGTAACAAGTTTCGAAAACACTACGTTTACGTGTTAACCAGATCTATGTTCTTTTTTACTCAACAAACAAATAGTTTTTGCAAGACAAGTTGAGTACAACATATTGCTCGTTCTCTGCGGTTGGTCTTCAGAGCTCGCGGACCAGTTAGATATAAGCGGAGCTCGCAGCGCGCATAGCGTAGCCCCATAATTATACAAAACGGTAGTAGTAACCCATCAAGCCGAAAAAATTTGGACTTATGACCGTAGGGGCGTCCGTACAAGGTGCTACTTTAAGCATACGCGGTCAGCTGAACCGCGGGCACGCCAACGCCACGGCGTTTGTCCAGTAGTCCGGTGGTCAGTGCACTGAGCTCCGAGTCGGTCGACCCGGGTTCAATTCCTGGCTGGGGCGAGGCGTTGTGCCCTTGAGACGTGCGGGAAAAAAAATGCGAGCTCTACTTTTAGGCTTGGCTAAATCTATATATTAAAGAATGTAACTGCGACTCACTCCCAGAGTTCCGCGCGGTGAGCTAGCTACCAACAACTTTTTCGCTGAATTTTTTTGACTCGTGCGACGGACTTTTCCGAGAAGGAGAGACTGCTCGTAATCTAACCTCAAAGTGCATACGGGCCTCTTGTTATTAGACATGTAGACTAACTATACGTGTTACTCTTGTGATATAAAGTAGAACAGCTTCATCACCAACATACCGCTGTTTTTCCTTGTTTGGTTGTAACCATGTAAGCACAAGACTAGGCTCCATGTCGACTCGTAACCTCGACTCCACGACCCATCGTTTAAGGACCTCGTATATCTCCAACAAACAGAAAGCATCTAATGCTAAACAGAGAAAAACACAAGCTAATTATGACAAACGGAGTTGTGTTGTTTATTTCCACATAGTTGTTTATTTCCATTCTATCTAAAGAGGAAAGAGGATGAGTCTAGGATGGACTTTGCCAACCTACCTCAGGTTTAAATGATACGTGTGACTAGGCATCTTTCTTAGAGAGGACAAATTATCGTACTGGACAAGGTTATGAGGGGAAAATCGATTACATATGGACAATGCATGGTGTTCATGTATTTATTGTGATATGAAAGTATTCATACATGACATAAACACATGTAACAAAAAAGATGGCAACAACTAAAAACAAAATTCCATCAATTAAAAACAAATTCGTGAAACTCAGATTGTCCATCTCAATTTTACGATGTACTTTTTGGTCAGGTTTCCCCTGACATGCGTGGTTGGTGGTTTATTTTATTGATCGCCCGCAAAACTGGCTGTTATTAAGGCTACATAGTTGTGCTTCGCGTGGTTTGCCTTGGAAGAGACATTTCATTGGTAGCGGCTCATTGGATCCAACCAGATTAAGTTATCAGCTCAGATCCAGTAAACATAGTGGATGTACCGTAGGAGTTATCAACGATCGCCCTTGACGAAGTAATTTTCTCAATAAGGAAAGAAGAGTTGAACGTTTGTAATTACGACTTCACCTTACTATTGAGTTCAAGCTTACGATAAAATCCATAATAAACCCGCTCGAAACTATAAGAACTTAATTCAACATCCATCACAATTCAAATTAATTCCCAGTCTCATCCATATCTCATTCCTGGTCCTTCAAAAGTGGGAGTTACCTGCATAAGTCAGCTGATCCTCGCTTAACGGACGCCGTTCCCAGTCAGAGATCTGATAGGTTTTATCCAAAGGTTGGCCAAGGCACAGGAACACCAACTCACTCAAGCCTCGCTCTTCTTCAATACAAGCACGTTCTCTTACAGATACACTGTGCATGCGGGAGTTGACCTTTCGTTGGACACTTGGTATACGGAGTATCTAAGCAAACCAATATAGGACTTTAGCCTGTTTGTAGAGCAGGTTTCAAGTCATTACCACAGCAATGTATTTAGGTGTTTATTAGCGTACTGACTCCTTCCGTTTGCCACGCTCAACCAAATAATAATAAAAAAGCCTTAATTACCGTCTGTGGTTAGTTGACAAAACTAAACTATACGAAAGTAGCAAAGTTGAAGTGGTAAATTGGCCACCGTAACGATTACAAAAGCTGACGTTTCGAGCGTTAGCCCTTCGTCGGAGCGAATTCGACTCCGAATTCCCATTCGCTCCGACGAGGGGCTAACGCTCGAAACGTCAGCTTTTGTAATCGTTACAGTGGCCAATTTACCACTTCAACTTTGTTGATATATCCAAGTTATTTCGTTACTCTCACCGACGAAGCCCCAAACAGTTTCTTTCGAAACTATCAGCCTTTATTCATTTATACGAAAGTAGGTCGTTTTGTCTGGATCACTCGACCTGTAGCACAGGTTGGGAACGGGGAGCTCTGTGTTACAAACAAACTAAAGCAGTGATCAAGGATCTCACTGGGTTTTAAACCGTTTATCAAGGTAACCTCTTTTCAGACCGCAGGAACCGACAAAAGCCCGAATTGCGTACACGGGCCAAGTATTCTCTGAGCTCACCATTCGGAGAGATTGTTTCTCTAAGCGAGTACTAAAACTTTCTTACCTCTTTACTTAATGGACATAGGTCAACAAACCGAGCTAGACGTTTCAATGCATGTTCGTACAAGGGACATGAAGATACCAAGTTTCGAAAATCAGAGTCAACTCCATAACCTGTCAAACAACAAAAAAAGCAAATAACAGTACACTAATAACATTGTAATCTTTCTCGCTGTACTGCATGTTATTTGACAGAAGTGTATGCTTCTGTATGAGACAACCTTCAGAAACGTTACCAACAAGCAACCGATAAGTTTTCTTCAGCCATTTGTAAGCCAGCGGAAGAACGACCAACTATTAAATATTCTATAAAAGGAACAAGCGAGCAGAGATAAAAGGATCATTTTGGAGTAAATTGACTTAAGCAGTTTTTTAATAGCACCTCCATCTACACCAATCTACGCCTCTTGGAGATGAGCTTTTCATTTATCAATCTACTTCTTTCAAAATAACGCTAGTTTCAGGTTATTGAGGTTATTGCTTGTTAAAAAAAAATTGGACACTTATTCTATGAGAGCTTCTGTTTGCTTTTTACCGCAATGCTGACTAAGCTTAACTCTTTACCAAGCTTAAGAACTTGAGGCTTATGATTATTATTATTATTAGAATAATTCTTATTCTATGAGAGCTTCTGTTTGCTTTTTACCGCAATGCTGACTAAGCTTAACTCTTTACCAAGCTTAAGAACTTGAGGATTAGCGAAGAAACTTTCAGCAAACTGTTGAATCTCGGAGTCTCTGACGTTGTCGGTCATTGCTATCACGTCCAAGATAAACACTTCAGTCCAAGTAGAAAGTTGAATGATCGAAAGCCTGCGTACAAATAAATCATCAAATGATATGAGAATAAAGAAGATTTCAACACATCACGAAAATAAATCGGATTCAGGTCTACTACTAAAGCTGAGGACAGATCGACCAATCGGCGCAATGAACTGCGTAGAGAATCAATCACATTCACCAGCTAAAACTTGCCGTCCTCAGCACTGCTTGCGCGTTTTTGCTACGTTCCAAATCCAAAGTCATCGCGACGGCCAATCAAGAGCCAGGGAAAAGGTACGAACGAGTCAATAAGAATTTAAAGAAAAAATAGGAGACTGCATAAACCGCGTTAAAATCTCAGGTGACCCGGTCGCTACCAGGAGGGGGCATCGGGATTTTCAGTTTGGCGGTTTTGGCTATTTTTTAGATCAGTTTTTTGGTTTTTGTGCCAGAAAACTTCGGATTTTCGTTTTTTGGTGTTCATTGCAGTTTGCGGTTTTTCCGTGTTTTTGCATTAATATTTTGGTTTTCGGTTTTCGTCAAAAATACTAACGGGTTTTCGGATTTGGTATCCGATGGGGATTTCAGTTTTTCCTATTTG